TCAATTTCTTCCTGGACTTTCAGAATATATTTACTATATTTGTCACAATATAATGAAAGAATTCATAAGAAATAATTTGATAGATATTTCAGAACCAGCATAAAACATTTCACTGCAAAAAACAGCTCTGTTTGCAACCAGCATGGAAAAATAGGAATCTAAACTTAACAGTACTGTATATATTTCAAAAGGGAAAAATTGATCATTTTCTTCTAAAAAACCTTCCGCCACAAAATAAAGTTCCTGGCTTAATCCTATTTGAATGGAATTTAAACGCGGTTTTTTCTTTGGATATAGTTTAATTTACATTGTAGAATCCAGATTTAATGATAGAACTTATAAATGATGCAGAATTTTAGAAATAAAGGTCTAGAACAAAATCTGTTCAAAAGCTCAGGATCGAACCTCCTTAATAGAACTGACTAATAAAATTACTGGACTTATTTAAATCAGTAAAGTTTTGTAGTCTTTGACTAGATACTGATAGATATTAAAGGAAAACTATTTGTTATGTAAAGCCTTTTGATCTATAATGAAAACAAATCTAATATTGTCTTGTGATAATAAGCTTGAATATGTTTGCTTTTTCTAAAATGTAAATGGACAAAAAATTATATTGAATCGAACATTTCTGTAGTTGCATTCAAATTAATGGAACAGGTTGCATTTGCCTTTAGTTACTGATAAAGGTTTGAATTTAGAAGGTCGTCGCATTTATTTCAAAGTATACATATTTCATATTTGTTTACTAATATGCAATAAAAACATAATTTGGAATGAGATTCATTTGAATAGATCGAAGAAAATAAACGTAGCTCTTTTCTTTCTGTCTGTCCATATTTGCGTTACGTGCCAGAAGACACCTTATAATTACTCTAATAACTACATTGATAAATTGTCTTCGGACTTTAAGTTAAAAATCAATCTTAATGCCAACGCAGATAAAACAAAATGACGAAGATTACGTGTAATAGGGTTAGAACACTAAGTGAGACGGGTTACAAATACATTAATTACTTAAATTCCGTTCGGTCTGGCTGTCAACTTTGCTTGTTTACGCAGATTTGGCAGGGGTAGTGGAATGAATTCCAGCGCAATTGTTTACAAACACAACGGAATTGTTTTGTTAATTCTAATGTCAATTTAATTAACTAAAGTCTAAATTCATCGGTAAGGATATAAATTTCTCCTCCTAGAATTAGGCAGACTTAGATAAAAACTGTTTTCTCGTTTTGTGCGTAGATACTGCTTTGAACTTGGACTAGCGGACTGGTAACTAAAAGTGTTATCGAGTTTTTATTCATTTCTTTTATCGAGCCTAATCGCATGTATCAGTCTACATACGAAGTCCATTTATGTGAGATTACAGTCATTAAAGTTAATAATTCTTACCTATTTTAATGATTGAGTTTTAGTTTGGCTTCTGCACCTGATATGTTGGGAATTGTATACAAAGATTCTGGATCTTCCAATCTTATAAGTAACGCAATTAGCAGAACGCAAGGTGTTGAAGTCATAATATTTTGAAATACATTACATCTTTGAAAATCTTCTTCTCTACACATGGACATTAGCAGGAAAATAGCTGCAGATCTGTAGCTCGCTGGTCTGGAAAAAAAAAACTGAGACGGACGACCAGAGAGATACAGAACCACCCATTGAAAAAAGTGTATATCTAACACAAAAAGTGCACTGTTTCTCGATTTATTTCTCTGTATATTTACGCTGCCATCTCAAAGTATTACTAACCACGTGTTCCTAACATATTCTTGTACTACTTAAACAGCAAACATTCCACAAAACTGTTATTAATAGCCTTCCTGGACCTGAAATTGAGACCATCGAAAATTTCGCCTTTTATACTACCATTTTTGGTGGTAAGACAATTCGGTTCGACTTGTACATGCAGTTTTGTTGTGGAAGTGGTAAAAGAATATGAAAGGAACACAAGTTATATTTTGAAACATACGGAGAAATAAATAGAGAAACAGCGCACTTTTTTGCAACAAAAATGTACACTTTTTCGATAGGTTTTTTGTCTTCTTTCAGATCAGGCCATCTTTAAAAAATTGTTTGATTGCCCTCTCCCGATCGACTGGCTAAGAATGGCCCGACTCAAAACTTTTTTTTAACTACATGAAACAATTTTTTTATGCATTCCGGAAAATAGATTTTGAAAATTCAGCATTGATGTTGAAATTTCATGTGGAAAAAAAATCCAACCTACCTACCGACCCAATTTTTTCATCATGAGTCGGGAGAGGGCAAAGAAATATTATTTTAAAGCTGGCCTCAGCGAGGCGCTACAGATCTACAGCTAGCAGGAAAACTGTTCACATAATTATAATATACACTTTTCCGTCTATAAAAAAATTATAAAAGTTGTGGCCCGCAGGCCCATGGTTCAGGACTCAAAATGGAGCTAAGGTTGTCATATTGTGAAAATTCCTTATATCTTTTAAAATCTTTTCTGAATTCCTACATCTAGTGGACATACTGATTATTACATGTTTATGATTTTAATGAGTACATAACCTTTTACCAAAATGTACATGTCCTTTCAGTCCAGCGTTCAGGCCTCAGGTCAGGTGCTGTGTATTGTTTTTGAAAATTCTTGATTTGTTTGACATAAACTTTTATTTAAGGATTTGTAATTAAAAATTTACAAAAACTTCAGTGTCACGTAATTCATAAAACGCTCATATTTTTAATGTTTGGGGGAAGCCACTTTTCATTAAAGTGCCTTGACCCAGTTTTGGGGATTCTAACATACTGGAACTGTTGGCTGCCCACGTCCCTCATAACACTGAAAGCCAAGGAGTTTTTCTTGGTTTTCTGCCACAAATAGCAAGTCTCTTCAAGGGCAAAACCACAACACATGCATCAAAAAGAGGTTTTGTGAATTACCCTTATGTTATTTAAAATACATTCTTTTATCCTAACTTTATACATCTTATACACTGAATAAAACGTGCACATACATCCGAGTGTATTTCAAACCACCTAATGCTACAAGGTTGAGAAAATAAAGTACAAGTCATGAAAATAAATTTCGTCTAAAATATAAAGTTCAAATCAATACACTTAATAGATTTGATAGATTTAAATTGATTTAGCAAAAAATTAAGCATATAATAGGTTCATCTGAGTTCTCATTGACCTTTGAAACTTCTTTCAAATGAATATGCCAATTTAAAAACCCCATGAACTCAAGTGCTTGAATTACTCAAAATTGATTCAACGTGTGTATTTGGTAATAAAATCGGTACCGGTGTATGCAAGCAATTTGTAGAAAATCTTTTGTGAGTTTTCAATCTTTTCGGTGCAGCTAATACAATCTTACAATTGTTTTCTCCTTCGGGAAATCGTTAATGAGTGAAATAAAGAGCTTTGATTTGCTACTGAAATATTAGTCGCATGCAGGTGCATTAATTGATAATTAAAAAGATATGCAACATCCACATAAATCAGGATTTTTATCATCATTATCATTTAGACCGTGCATGTTTGCAGACCATTCTCTACATTTTGTTCATGCTGATTAGACGTATGTTTTACTGTGTCATTATGATAAAATGGTTCTCGTTTTACTCTCGTTTTTGTAACAGCTGACTGTCATCAAATTTTATTTTTACAATTAAAAAAAAAACATAACATATACTGATTTGGTGATTAAGATGCCTTTAGCAGAGGAAGTAGCCTTAGAAACATAATCGTTTTGTATTCAGTGAAAATAAATAAATGAAAAATAACGTTTACCGAGTATTGAAGTGAATTAGAGATGAAAAGCGTATGCATTGCATTGGAAAATTGCTTTCAAAACGTTCCGTAAAACATATTTACAGAACTCTCAACGACAATAAGAGTTTACCCACGGAACTCATTAAAAAAGAGTTAGAATGTTTTTTCTATTAATTCTAATGTCAACTGAATTGAAAAATTAGGAAATAATAACTGAAAGTAAATTATTTTGAAGGATTCCTTTTATAAGTTATGTAATCTTGAAATTCAAGTAAACACAATAAAAATGCAGACGTTATACGAATCGATGCCTCTGAGAAACTCTTAAGTGAATTAGTTTGAAGTAAGAAACCCTTATATGATGGTGACAAATCGCGGTTAACGGGTATAATGTGGACCAATGAACGAATCTTTAATTAATCCGTGCTCCCATCAGGAAAGCCAATCATACGATGACAAATTTTACATATTAATTTCATTAATAATCAGTTAGAAGCTATCAGTTTTGATGATCTGTACTCCCCATTTAACACTATTTATCTGAAAACATTTAAAGATGACAGTTATGATTAGAAAGCATATGAATACTTCTTATGCAATTCCATTTATATTTAATTTCTTGATATTATGTTTATGTCTTCGGTAAGAATTTTACGGACAGTGCTTATTGAATACCTTGAACAGAACCACGCCTCAAATAGAAAATAAGGAAAATGTCACTTATTTTCAGAGAAAATTGTTTCGATTTCATAAATACAAACACCCAGACAGAATTAAAAAAAATACGGTTCACAAAGTACGCAACAATATTTGTTTGAAAACTGTTACTGCACGTCTTGTCTGAGCGAAAGAAATCTGAACGCTGAATGGTTAAAATTATGGTAAAATTGGTTTTCGTACTATTCAAGAGAAATTTTATTGATTGGTTTACAAGAAGAGATAAACCATTTATAAAGACTTGGTATATTTTTTCAGGATATGTTTAGGATAACAGAAAGTCGGGAGATTTTTGACACCTGAAAGATAAAAACATGAAATAAATCTCTCGTCAAATAATGCACGTTATCTCGAAAGTGCGGTAATGCGACCTTCGATTGTGTGAGTTAAAGGTATACAAGGTGCAAATTTCCTGCAGTGTTTGTAAGAGTATATAGAACCATGTATTGCAGTGCAGTACATCACAAGCAGAATAAAGTGTTATCTCTGCACCATTACCAATCAAAACATAAAAGATAAACTTTAGAACAACATTAGAAGATTTAATGATTTAACAGTATGAGGTAATGGGAAGTTTAAACTGTTCAACAAGCATTACAATCGATGGTGTCTATCCGGAACATCTCGGAGAAAAATCAACTTTTTAAATCGTTTTTGGGCTTTCAATTTCATTTTTAAATGCTGGTCCGTATTATCTTCTGGCTCTTTTAAGACATTTTTAAATGGCTCCAGTCGCACCATAGGCGTAACATTCTGTCCATTTTCTCGACGGGGTAACTTCCCCACCTTTTTCTTGTCAAAAATCAACAGCTCATCACTCGGAGTTTGGTGTTCTGGAATGGCCACGAGCTGGGATTGCAGATTAAGGACATTTCTTGGTGACTGTTTGGGAGGTGGGGAAGGCAGTGTTCGTTCACTCTTTGCCGATCTCTTTTGAGACGCCACGTCATTTTCAGGAATATCTGCTAGATCTGGTTTATTTATCTGCATACGTTTGGCACGATTCGGCCTTCTTTTGAAAGCCTCCACATTTGCTTTATTTAAGTCTAAGCTATCGCTATCGGTGTCTGAATTTTCAGAGTCTTGTTCTTTTTCTGAACTCTCTATCGGTGGTAGTGTTGGCAAAGTACTAAAGTCTTTAGGATTTTTAGGAGTGGGCGATTCATTGTTGGCACTTTTACTAATGTTCCTAGAAGCCTTTCTATTCCCTGCACCAGGCAGCGGGCGACCTGTAGGGGAGGGCGTGTGATTATGAATATTATCCATTTCTATGTATCTCAATGTGTCCTCCTTATTTCCCTTGTTTCTTATACTAAAATCCACTATATCGTACAAATCTGAAGCACTTACGAAACTGATTTTCACTTGATGGGAATTTTTATTATATCGTTCCGGTAACGAGGGGAGGGATAGCCTTGAAGCCGATTTTGGTTTGTCTCTCCGGGGTTTATTTGACTTTGACTTTGCATTCTTGCCTATAAGTTCATCAAATGATGCTGGTCTCCTGGTTTTATTTTTGGTTAAAGGTATCTTTGGAATATGTTTTGCTCTTACGTATAACGGTGAATCATTGGATAACATCCCTTCGACACTATTTTTTGTGTTGGTCATCTTACGCATGCGTTCTGTATAAGCTAACATAGACTCTTTCAGTCCCCTTTCGCGATTTATCATCCTAGACAAAGAAACATCGAACTCTTTTTCATAATGTAAAAGTCGCCGATCGTACTCCTGCTTCAGCCGGGAAATCTGCGTTGCTGCACGATTTTCTGTTTGAAAAATTCCAGAACTACTTGAACTTGACGAAGAAGACATAACTAAAATTTAAGTGATTTCCAATTCCATTTTCCTTCTTACGTCTGTTGTGAATTTAATGTTTTGATGATGACTGGATCTTTAAATAAGACGACAATCTAATCTGAAATGAAAGACTGAATATTTCTGTATAAGCTTAAGGGCAACAATAGGCAGGTTTGATTATCTAAGATAAATAGAGATCACGAAATATTTCTATTCAGAGATTACAAAACTTGGTATTCTATTTCTTGAATTTTAAATACTATTTTATTAACTACAAGGTCGCATCGAAACCTTTGTTAGATACATGTCTGGGTGATGAAGTATATTTCTATGTTTGTATAATGTAATACTTGACTGGGGGCCTTTACAGTGATAATGTGTTTTAGACCAACTAATTAGACCTTGAACGTAATTGACTTATTGTCAGAAACGGGTTTACGATGTTGACGGGAACAACATTGGAACCTTTTTGCAGACTCGTAACCTTTTAGTCTATCTAGGTCTTCTGTTTAGAATCTTGATTAACTAAGCTTAATAATACACTTAAATCTGAATGGGTATTCAATAATGTATTGCAACATAGTTATGCCAGCTTGAAATCCGACCCGTTGTTTCAGGCGATTTCATGCTTTCTTAACGCAAAAACATTAACTTTTTTTGTACTTAAGCTACATGTATATATCCTTGGGAATCATACAGTTTAAGTTGTCAGAATGAAAACACAGAAGTCTATTTATTAAAGCTGCATACCAACGATGCAAGTAAAACAGATATTTTAAGTAACGATTAGTTGTAAGTACTTATTAAGAGCCAAGATACTCGATGAGTATCCAAGTAACCAAAAACAAAGGCGACAGAATGTGCAAAGACATTTTTCAACAAATTATAGCAGCAGTATTAAATGAAATTTTAAATTTGGCGATGACTTTGAAACATTTAGATCAATTGAAAAAAACATATAAGTAGAAGAAAATAAGATAACACGATTGTTTAGTTTAAATGATCAAAGCGAAGAAAAACAAGATGCGATAGACATATTTGACACAAACAATAACTAAGGGCTTAGGCATACATGTCACCCAATTCATGAAAGTCTCAATTCGGTCCACATTTCTTTTAAAGTGAGATGTTTTATTTTCCTAAAAGCATTAAATGCTCTCGATCATTAAAACACAATCTTATAAAAGCCGTCATTTGTGTCAAGTGGATACTCGAGTTTTGTAGTGTTTGAAATTTATAAAATTCAAGACAAGTCAGGCATTGATTTCAAGCCTTGAAGATATATTCCTATGATGTCTTGTACAATCGTCATTTGATGTAATGGACAACAGACTTTTAAGCAGGAATTTCTCAGCGAGTATTTCTTCACACCTGTGGAGCAGGTAGAAAATTACGAAATTCAGGAATTATTAATCCCTTCTGTATTTCATCACCTTATGTAATGTCCGAAAGACCATCGATTGGACCTATAAACTTTGAAAGGCTTTTGGTTACATATGCCCAAGTTGATATCCCTTGAAAAGTTTTCAAGTAGTTCGAGGTAAAGAATTGTCATGCATTTTTAAACATCTTGTGTATCTGCCTTTCATTCCGTTGAGGAAATTATTTCAGCTATAGCTCATTAGAGACCATAAAATTTAAAAATCTCTTCTCGCCTTATTTATGCGATTGTTAGAATTTTCTAGGTTTCAGAATGGTGAAACAGTATTCAAGCAAGGAGAATTTTGCAAATAAAACCAAAGTTTGATACGTGTGTCCTTCGCCATTTATGTATTGATTTCGGCATTCTATACTATAATTGATTGTCTCTGGTAACTTTCAATTCTCCAAATGTAATTTATAATGAAAGGTACCAAACTTTTTGGTTTTAAATCATGTTTGCAGCCTGATCAAAGCAAATAAAAGTTACAATTCTTTAAGTTTGGAAAACTAACATTAAATGGGGAATTTTAAACAAGTGCAAATAAAACAGGTTTAAATTATTTTTAGTGAACAAACAGAAAAGGAGATATTTACAAACAGAGAAGAATATCCTTTAAGGTTTTGTCACGTGTTGGGTCTGAGTTGTAACATAAAAAGTACTAACAATTTAACTTGTTGTTTAGTATTTTAAAAAGAAGTACAAAGACGTAGTGTGAAGGTTTATCATGCGCTTACCAACGCAGAGACCCAAACTAACATCAACAGGTTATTAAACTTTTTATATATACCGTAACTCGTATCTACACTTGAGATTAAATCTACATTTCGTAGTACTAAGATTTCTGAAATATATTAGCTAAGTATTTTTGAATTGCCAGTTTATATTTGAAATTTCGAGAATCGTCTAAAATTAGAAAATAATGAAACGATGTCCACGAAACTGCGGCATGAAACAACGATTCTAGGCCCTGGCATCGTGATTTTACAAAGAAAATCGTGAAATGAAAAGTTATACGTTAGTGATAATTAAACACTTCGTGCGGAGAATAATGAAGTAATGAAAAATAGTTTTTTTTAATCATCAGCACATATGATTATTTTTTTTTTATTTCGGAGATTTTAAAAAGAAACTATTTCCGATATCAAATGAAGTTACTTGAGTGTATCTGAATCTATCACCGAGCCTTTGTAAATCGGTACGCTCGTGTTAGGAAGAACAAAGATTTCATCAGGTGTGTACATTAAAATCTTCAGCACGAAGTTGGCGACGATTTGTCAAATTTGAGTATTAATAATACAAAAATCACTCTTAAAAAAACTTACCTTCTTGTGAGTTAGAAAAATCTCCAAGTAAACGCTACATAGAAGAGAACATTTAAAACTCTTCTGTACATATAAAGAGAAAATATCGACACAAACTCTTAATTATCCTAGACTATTTGTGCATTGTCAAGACCCTGGACTGTGTCTTTAAAAAATACATTTAAAGAGCCGGTGATTGTATACACAACAGATTTGAGAGATAAATACCTTTAGATAATGACATGCTCCTACTACCACCATCCGAAGATCTCCGGTAACTAGAATATTCAAATAGAGTGCGCCGCGCTCCGATCTGGCGTGGGGTATCGACCCGCCATAAGCAAATCCCCCGATGGAAAGATATATTCATTTAATACCTACGTGTAAGGCTTCTAAAATATTGACTTATATTTCCTTAGAGTAACCAAGCTGAAGTTAAGTCTACTAGGTTGTTATGATGCGGGTTTAAGGCTTCATTGGTTCCGACAGTTAAACATATTCTTTGCAACCGGGGATGTAAAAAATTCGAATGATTGAAATATCACTGATTTTTTTTAAAATCAATATCTATTTTCCTCTCCGTTCGTAGTTAAATTAAAGTCATTGCCTTTTCCAACTTAACAAAATCCTTGTTAATGATCCAAAATTGATCGTATTTCTACGTAGACTAAAAGGTATTTATTGAAATTGCAGGTGAGAAAATGCGTAAAGAAATTGAGACATTAAAGCGGCTGATACAAGAGGCCTAGCTTATTATTTTAAAAAGAAATAGGAAGGCATCATTGCTGCAATTTTAATTTGTCAAAACAAATGAATACTCATTTTTATATAAATTATATTAAATTATAATTTTGTAAGACATCGCATGATTCAAGTAATGTCTGTATTATTCTGCAGTACCCATGTTTCATTGTAGTCTACTTTTAAACAATGAAGAAATAACCAATTCTGTGGGCAGTTACCATTTTTATGCGTGTAGAAAATAAGGAGAATGACATAGATATTTAGAAATAGAGTGAAAGTTCTTAAACTGGAGTTTATAATTAATTAAGACAATTTGTGACATTTTTTCCGAGGTAATGCGAGATAATCCTGTCATGAATATTTTTGAAAAAAAAGTGATCAATTTTTTAAATACTATCTATACAATTAACAGAGAAACTTTTGGTTTAGTAGCAGTATCTATTTTGTCAAGATTAAAAAAACTTGTAAATGGCAGCTAATGCACATAAAGTTGTCTCATTTTAAATATAAGTATACTTACTATAATAAAAGTTATGAAGGATATTGTATGTTTTTCTTTTATCAGTAAATATTTTATAGCAATCTTTGCAAAATATGAAATACACCTTAGACATTATTTCACAGACACACATATTCTCACACACACGCACCCACGCCCTGAGAGAGAGAGAGAAAGAGAGAAGGTAGAGATAGAGAGAGAGAGAAGGGAGTGAGAAATTATGCGAGTTTGGACGTTTAACAACTGTTTCAAAGTTAGCATAAACAAAATTGATTTTCGAATATAGAATGTACTTTGAGGAAACAATTAAATGTATATATAAACATATATATTCAAAGAAGACATAAAAAGATATTTCTAACTTATATACCTGTACTGTTTGTAAACTTGCAATTTTTATTTTTCAAGAACTTGAATTCAATGAATTGAATGTAGATTTGGGGTTCGTCACCGCTACGAAAAGCAAATTGAATACACTTGAATTCGTTCTAAATGAGGAAAAAATCGCACTTAAACACGCTCATCTCGATTCAAAACAGGTTCTAACTATGGAAATAGGATGATTAAAAGATTTAATTCACTTTAATTGCGCCCACAGGATTTTTTCTATTATTTTTTTTTAAAGATAGAATGCCAAAATTGACAGGGTGGTACCATGATTTCCAGCAAGTTCAAATATTTTGAAAAACCAGAACGGTATAATTTTTTCTTCATTATGGTTTCTAAATTTATATTTGGGTTAAATTGCGTTTAATGAATCCATATAATCTATACACTATTTCATCTATTTTATCCACTATATTGAGTGTTAAATCTCATGTGACTCCATTACTTCACATGTTTTCCTCGGAGTGAACGATGAGAAGTTACGTATTACTCTGAATGCACATTCCCAGTCTTTCTTAAAACAAGAGACTAAAAATTCCTGACAGTACTAGTTCTTAAAGAATTACTAAGTGTATCGATGTATTCTCATGCCTTATGTCATCTGCAAGTTTATCCACAGGCACCTGAATTGTGGATAACTTACATCTCTGCATCCCTCCCAATTACCAAAATATAGTAACCGAGACCATATTTTCCCAATAAATATGTGATTTCCCCATCAATTCTATCTCATTCTATGTAATCAGTTTGTGTTTGGTCATTTACAGTTAATAAAAATACGTACGTATTTTTGTTATACTGTATATCACATACTGATTTCACATAATGACGAAAAAGATGGAATTGATGGAGAAATCACATATTTTCGGGAAAATATAGTCTCGTAAATTATATTTTGGTGAATGGGGTGTGTGTGAAGTAGAGGTGTACATTATCCACGCTTCAGGTGCCTGGTTCATTTTCATCTGTTGCATTTATTCTTTTTTCTTTCATAGACCATGGTAACAACAAGCAAAAAATTGGCTTCATAACTTCATCTTCTTCTCATGAGTAAAGGTATTGTCAACTATGAGCTTTTGAATCTATTTAACAAAGTATGCTTCGTGAAAAATTTCACTTTTCCTTCTTAATAACCCTCAATCAAATAAGCTTGTGTCATTACTGTAGTTCATCCTCAATTTCACTGTGCCACGGTATTAACCTGTTATTTTTATTGGAGGACATACAAAATAATTCTATTTTTAGGCAAATGTTGAAAAACAAATTATTACTTTCTGGATGGATTATGGGAATTCATTCCAGAACGAGAAAGTACTTCTGGTCTTTAATTAAGTGCCACAAATCTTTCTTTTATAAAGACTTCTCAGTAATTTTAGTTTATATATACAAGGAACCAATAAGACAACCCTTCTCAGCCATACAAATGTCATGAAAGATAAACAATCTCATTGATATATAGATGCCAATATATAAGGGAGATCGGAATTATCAATTTAACAAGCAAGGTGTTAACACGTACAATTCAAGGCATTCTTTCACCTGTGTTAACTCATTTCATAGTTGTATCGTAAACAGAGTTTTTCAGCACTGAGTAGAAAGTGACAAAATAAAACCGTAGACTTCAATATGAAAATTCGTTTGCATTCAAAGAAGTTGAGGATGACAAATGACTTACCCCCTCCCCTCAAAAACTGAGGAGTTGGTTTACTGTACAGAACAAATATCCCTCTGTTATATAGAGATTTTTCTATCTTAAAAAAAGGATACTAAAATTTAAAATCTATTTTTAAAGAGGGAACAAACAGCAAAGGTTTGAAATTAAATTTTTCGCATAAGCTGAAAAACAGTCAAGAATTCTTTAAAGTGATTGACAGAAGGGCGGACATAATTTGCCAGACACAAATAGGAAATAAAATATTATTTGATATCACATTCTGTTTGACAGATAAACTTGATATCCTCTCAAGATTTAATATAACAGTATAGAAGGCATATTCTTCCATGAAGTAGCCCTCTCTCGTCAGAGTTCGCCGACCTCCAGAAAGGAACGTACTCCATCTTAAAATCAAGACTTTTTACGGAACATTATTTGTGACGATATTTTGGTTTTCCCCAAAGAGGTCATGGAATTCTTAGATAAGACCCAAGTGACTAGTATATTTCTTTGTCTCAAAGTCAGTCTGTTATCAAACAAATATGAAGCTTCATTTGCAAACCTTTGTATTGTTTTTAATATGCTGTTTTGCCTTTTCAGAGGCGCTAAGAAGGTAACATTAGATCATTGCGTATGTATTTTTACACAATAACTATTGCAATCTTTAAGGTCTTTTAATAATGTCAAGTGTCGTCGGGTTATTGTTCTATGTGTTCTGTCTGTTAACTAGCCTTGATTGACACCGTAGCTATTTTGAAACATGCTGTTTCATTGTTGATATAATTTTAGGCCAAATGAAATACGGTTATATTAATATAATTTTTCTCTATGATTATTATGATTATCATTGTTTTTGAAATTCAGTTGGGATGTAACAAACTTGTCAGAAAAAAAGCCTCCACGTATATTTGTATATGAAATAAAGTATATATATCCCAATAGTTCCATTTTGTTTATTTTTGAGTTTTCTGTTCTAACACACATAGATATAAGATCTGTAATTTTTCGCTTTTAATAAAAAAAAAAAAACCCTGTTCATTTTCATTTTTTAAAGGACCGCAAGGAGACAGTCCTACTAGATACGTGAGATAAGGGTCATCTGCATTGCCATGGAACTTTTCTTCTTTTCTTTTTGGTACAAATTGCACAAACAAATGTTATTCTTGAACGCTTGAATGCATTTTGCAGAAAATGGTACTTGCGGTCCAATTTTGACGCTTGTGAAAATGCTGCTTTGCTGCATTTTTAAAATATTGTCTTGATATGTTTTTTTCAGTGTTGCTAAGTCAGAAGAATTATGTTTCTTTTTTAGGAAGAGAGAATGGTGTAGGCCAGTAGACACAGAGACCCAGTGCATACTTGGCATCTTTGGTAGCGTTTGTCACATGAAGGATGACATGTGCTGTTGCCCACCAATTTATCCGGGTATGTTATAATATAAGGGAACAGAATGTAGGTATCAATTATACATTGTATAGTACTTTTTGAGGAATAGAAATTTAAAAAGAAAGTGTAAACAGGTATCAAAGGAATGATATTTATGTAGATGTAGATGATTACCAATCAGCCAATAAAACATTAAAAGAACAATGCAAATCTGAAAACAATAAACATGTATATTTGTTCAACTTAAAGTTGATAATAGAAAGCTGAGGCAAATTTATATTCAAGTATTTTTTTTAAAATGTATTGTTTATGCACATTATATTAAGATTATTTCATGGAAAATCCGTTTACAATTAAATGGAAAACATTTGAAGCGTTTGTGACGCTACTAAAAATCGCATCTCAAATTTTAGCATACATGATGATGAAGTCTGTTAAATGTATCAGACACTGAATAAGTAGGGATACTGGGATCTCGTATGCTTCAATACTATTACCAAATGATCACGTGAACACAGAAACGCATTACGTTATATTTATTTTATTTCATAAAAAAATAAAAAGAAATATCTGTATGGTTGTATATACGTAATGTACCAGAGAAAGCAAAGCTTGTTGAAAAATATTTTGAAAAAAAAGGTCAAAATCGATTTTAATACGAATTTCATTTTAGCATAAATGAATCATACTATTCGTTGTCTTTTCTGTTGCCAAGTGTTAGAATGTAGGAAATGTATAATAATTAGATATATTAAATAACTCTATAACACCAGTAACAGCTGAATGCTAAGTTTTATTGAGAGAAAGTAGAATAATTCAAATCTAATTTGAGAGAAATAAGATGATTTCTAACATAAATGCGGTATGAGATAAAGTTCTTTTCCCCTTAACAGGTAAGAGAGAAGCAGGACACTGCGCTATGGTGTGGGACTGGGTTTGTCCCCCTAACTGTAAGATGGTGAGGGACTGCCGAACTAGATGTGACATGCCGGGAGAGTACTGTTGCTGGTGTACCTCCTAAACTCAACGCAACAAATAAAGAATTGTCATAGAACCAATTTGTTATCCCTCTTTTAACTCATTTCTCTTTTGACATGATGCTTATGTGTGTTGAGATGTAATACCATTGTTATTTCCAATTATTGGTATATTTTTTCGTGTCTATTTGTCTGCATTCTTTTAAAATGTTTTGGTTATAAATACACAAGGAGTATTAAGTAATTTAAAATAGATTAAAGTGTTGTAAAAATGGTACTCAAAATTATTCGACCATTATTTGTCCATGTTTTAACTTTCCCTTTACATCGGCAATTTCCATACTGATTAGATATAACTTAATAAAATAGAGATGGTAAAAATCAGCTCAAAATCATGCATTGAAAAAGATCAAAATATGCCAAACATACTAAAATCTCAATTAAATCAAACCAAGAAACTGCAAACGTGAATGCAAACGTGTTCATCAATGTAGTACTCTCTATTCATAATAAGACAACCATATTGACTTCCAAGAAAGTCTTTAAAAATAGAAGCTTTCCAAGAAGATAGGAGGTATCAAAACCATCAAAAGAAAAGTTGAAGTTTCAGCAACAGCCATGTCTGTGAAATGATAGATGTACTTTCAATCATAATATTGCACAAAGAACCACTTTTTATAAATTTATGAATGCAAAGTTTACATAATATATGTATCTTACCCTATTTAAGTGACGGATCATTTTATAAAGTATAAATAAGTATATAAATAACTTCCTGATAAAACAGATGAAGAGAAATAACCAAATGTTGTATATGTTCTTCTATTGCTAGCAAGTTATGTCTCTTTCATTTGAAATATTTTATTTCATCTGAACTCAAGGTATTTTCCTTTTCTGTTTTTTAAAATTTTCTTAAAAATGAAAACAAATATGATGCAATAATTCTATTCTATTCTTATACATTTCACTGAAATTTACTTTTGAAACTGTTATTTTTTTTATTTAATACCCATTATAAGTAGTACCTTTAAAAGAGTATGGCGTACTATATAAGATATCATACGTAATTAAAATACAAAATACCATATTGAGAGAAACAGTAAAGTTTTTTTTTTGTCATTCTCTCCGTATGCCCTCTATCTGTTGATATGATCCTTGCATTATGTTATTGATAGCTTAATCAATTCTAAATTCTTATTTATGTGCTTTTAATAACAGAGCATCAAAATATTACCACTCCTTTAGCAAAGAGATTTGTCTAGAATTAGGCCAAGTTCCCAAGATTGCCTGTAATCTCAACACGTCGACTGTATTCAGAAAAATGAAGCTTGTGCAATTTGTGATCCTTTTTACCTTTGTTGTTTTGGCTTATTCAGCTCGTTGGTAGGATGTATTTATATTAATTAATTTAAATTTTCATTTCATTAAAATTATCTTCATATAAGATTTTTTTTGAAAGATGACATATGTGTTTTAGAAATTGACATGCATATGAAATACTTTTAATAATGCGAATAAAGAATTCATTTGCTTAAACCATTATACAAATAACCAGTAATATTCATATTAATGTACTTGTTTTTGTGGGATTAACCATCCAAAATAAGCTACGAAATTGGACATGTTTGAAGACATGCTTTTTATACAGGACTCGTGAAGACTGTCATTATGCAGAAACCGAAGAAGCATGCAAATCTGTTTACCTTGGTTACCGATGTCATTTTTCTGTAGACGATAACAGATGCTGTTGCCCACGCATATTTCCAGGTACAAAAGTTATTTAAATTAAGCTAGATTTTTAAATAAAAAAATATCTGAAGCTTACGTACTTAATGAAATTATATTCAAAAGTTTTTTTTACTAATTACAAAGCAACACAAAAATAATTATTATCCATAAAATATGGTGTGTCGCGCAGGAATATGTACCTTTTTGTGTAAGATATTATCGTGGAACTTTGTATCAAATACGATTGTGTTATACTAGTCAGCATAAACTTTATGTGAAAGCCTTATAAATTTTAATCAAGCTGCACACAATGTATATCACAAAATAATTTTTAAAGAAAAGTTTCAATATTACGAAAGGGTCTACAGTAACCACGTGTGAAATTGCTGGACGACTTTTTGTTGGTGCTCAGGGAATTGATTTCTAGAAATTCTAAAGTCGCCAAACTGCCTTTCAGTTAACGTCATTTTTTCTCTGCCAGTGAGACCCGATGTTTTAATTTTTGTAAATTCAGGATCACCAAAATTTTAACTGAGAAAAAACAACAACAATTTTCTTCTATCCAATAGAACACGTAGAAGCAAAGTTTTGGACCATATTACTTTAAAGGATTTCAATTTGAACAGGGATACTATATGCGATTTACACATCTAAATTCTTGAATGCAGTTATCTAAATTTTGTTTCCGACTAAGATACATTTTATGTTTTTACAGGTAAAAGAGCATTCCCATGCTTTGGGAAGGACGAGAGCCATTGTCATTTACCATGTCATATGACAGAAGATGGAACTTGTTGTTGGTGTCCACTGGTTGGATAAAATGTGTCACGTGATTTGCATTTTTCTTTGACAAGAATTTTAAATTTATAAAAAAAAAGTAATGTATTTAGGCCCGATGGCAGGACTAAGCTGGTTATATATTGAAGTTGCATTATATCTTTGAAAATATTTTTTCTTCTGGACATCTCGCAGACAAGCCATGTGCATAATTATTCATCTACCAAGAATGTAAATTCATGACCCCTCGGTCAGAATTAGGCCCCAGGGTGTTTACAGTGTAGCTTTAATAATCTTATTTATTAATGGACATTTAGCAAGCATACTTTATGCATGGTTGCATTATGCCATTTTCCCTTTTTATCAAATTAAGGTGAGGGCGGAGGATGGGGCTAAGTTGATCATAATTTAATTTTATTTTTAAATTAATTTAAATTACTTTCTCTTTTAAAATCTCTCCCTCTTTTTATCCTTCAGAAACAACATTCAGGAATATGATGGTGAATTTAAAGTCCATGTGAAATTCATGTAAAATATCCACGATTTCAGTGTTTCAATTTCAGGTGGTAATGGATTGGTCATATATCAAGACTCATGATACTCAGGTGACCGTCAAGGCCTATGTTTGTTTGTTTGTTTGTTTTAAATACATGTTCCCCTGCACATGGAGTTTTTGTCTCCCAGGTGATTCAATACGCAAGAGCTATTCTTCGTTCGAACAAATTCTAAAATGAGGCAGGCTATTGAAAAATAAGTTGATGATACAAGGATATCAACATTCTTGTTTAAAGTCACCATTTTGCAAATTCTATGGTCGATACAATGATCTTGTTTGCAAAATACAATCTGTCGTTAGGTCGAATGTTGACTGACGTTTTTCATACAAATTGTTAGGCCATTATTTTCACACTGAATTGTCTACGGATTTTCCGTTTACCCAATCAAGACAAAGAACACACGGCGGGTGTGACCGGTCGACAGGGGATGCTGCTACTCTGTGGCACCCGATCCTTTCTCTGTTTTCAGAGGTTCGTGTTAGCTTTGCTCATAATGTGTATTGTTTAAATGATCACTGTTCGTTATCTTCACATTTCTTGCTGCAAAATTTTAAACTTAAGTGAGCGTCTCTGAGAAAACCATGCAAAACAGTCCACAAGCAGGGTTTATGTATTGATATCAATTTTTGTGTGCAATATAGTATTGATATACCATTAAATTTGCCACAAATATTTTCGTCATTGTTGCCTTAGTTCATGACTTAGAGGCATGTTACTAAAGATAGAACATGTAGTCAAACTAGGAGCTTGAAATCATTGAATCTAGACATATTTGAGGAAGTCTCAACAAATTATGACATTTCATGCATTGAAATTAATTGATAGGCATAAAAGTATGTTGCCTAGAGTATCAGTCAGGATAGTAAAATTTATTCAGTACTTATCCAGTTTAAGTACAAAAAGGTCACAAATCTTCCAAAATTCACATTTCCAAAAAATTCATATATTTATGAACTTTCAAAGTATTTTTAAAGATTCTTTAAACACTGCAATTTGTTTTATTGTAATTACACCTGTAAGTACAGACCATAATTAGGAAGATATAAAAAAAATCTATCTTTGGACTCTTTCAAATAGGGCAGATATGAGGTCACGAATAATGCTATGTTTTGACGTATTGCAAATCATAATAAACATTGTTAAAATAGCTCATATCTAGTATATCATAATTTAAGTGGAAATGTTTCAGCATGTGATTGTATATTTATTATATAGATTTGTAATCATAACAAATACCTGGAAACCCTTCATTTCTCTAACATCAAGATGTTGATATTTCAAGGGATTTGTCTCGATGAGCCTTCCACAACCAACCTGGTATGCCTTTCTCATAATTACTGAATCCACATTAAATATGAAGTTGTTCAGAAGGCTATTCTGGGGGATTTGGGATTTTATTTTTGGTTCTTCTGCATTGTCAATGGAGACAACACAAGCTTTAGTTCCTTTCAATCCATGATTGCTTTCTAAAGCTCTTTTCAAGTCTCTATGGCGAGTCCAACAAATTTGTTCACACCAATCTGATAGTAAAATAATGTGATCTTCTAAACAAATACTTCTTTTTTTGATATAAAAATTAAATTTGTCAGGGAAGGCACAAGTTGCATGTGCAATAATGCACTAAACTAGAATGGACTATTGCATAAGATATATTACATACAGCACTTTAGTTTCAGAATTTCATGAGTTTTACAACAAATGTACAAGTACTTTTCACCTAACAAAGAATTTTGTCTTATATGTAATAAAATTATTAAGCATGTTGTAAAGTCCTTGCTCATTCTCAATTTTTTCCTCAAAATGTCAATATTTTGAATCTGAAAATTGCTTAATGTATCCTTTTGCATACTAGCTAGCTAATGTATACTTAACAAATATTATAATTAGTAATTACTCCATGTATACATATGCTCTTTAAACTTAACTTGAATTTATTATCTAAATTTATTCTACTGGAATAAATATTTCTTTCATACACATAATTCAATGCAACTTTTTTTTATAATCATT